TTGCTTGTGGTCCTAGCTCTGATTCCAGCGTCCCATCCATTGTCCTCCAGCCCATGTATACTTGCCACTATTTTAGCCCATAGTTTCTCCTTCTCCATAGGGAACCTCCACAACCACTTCCCCAACAGAGTCATATTCCTTCTCCTGATACTCCCAAGACCCACGCCACCACAAGACTTACTCTTACACACTATCTCCCAACTAACTTTGTGATCCCTCTTCTCCTCTCCTAGCTCCCACAGGAAATCTCTCATAAACTTCTCTAATCTGTTAGCAACCTTCACTGGGATTTTAAACACCAATAGGAAAAAGATGGGTAAATTAGCAAGCATGGCCTTAATTAGTGTAATTCTCCCACCTAGAGAGAGGTAGTTCTTTTTCCAGGTAGTTCTTTTTCCAAGAAAAAACAGATTTTTCCTCATTTGAGAATTACTAAAGTTGTTTGTAATTGATCAAAGGAAAAAATATGCATGAGTATTTTGCAACAAGGGACTAAATATCCTTTAGGGCTCTTACTTCCATCGTTCTATGTCACAATAATCTTCAAAAGTCAAAACAGATGGATCCCATGTTCCCAATTGCCACAATATGCCATTCTAAAATATTATCGCCAACTCATCATGTTATAATACCATCTCATGTACTTCACATAGTGCCACTAGTTTTCATTGGGGAATATGTCGATTTGTAACTTTCCATGTCAACACCCATGGTAATGGGAATATGTCAAGGAAATTTTAGGAAATCCATGGGCATTTTAAGCCATGCCAACAAGTAATTCAGTTAAACCAATCCAGCAGATATCAAGTAGCACCTAAGTAAAATCCTTAACACTTCTGAAACATCCAATGAAAATATAAGATATAAGAAGGAAAAATTGCAATGGGAATACATACAAACTTTTACGAAACAATATCATGTAAACCACATAGCTTCATATTCCTACTCCTTTAACCAAAAGAAACAAAGTGACTGATGAATCTAAAAGAGGGCATACAATTTGGGTGTTTCCTTTTGTCATAACTCCTAGGACTTCATGAGTAGTTGTATTTGTCTTCCGTGAAACAGCAGCAACTTTGCTCCCAACCTGTCACGAATGTATAGCAAACATACGACATGTGAATGAAGTAGGCAAATAAAGAAATAAAATTCCAGTCAACCTACCAAAGACCCAAAAAGCAAGTAGAAAATAGCTCAGGCAACTGAAAGGTCCAAAGATACTTGTATGTTATCTTTGCACCTATAAATTTTGTTGGCTATCTTTATAAAAAGACAAATACCAGTAAAATACTTTCCGTGCTCAACTGACTTTTTTTTTTCATTTGGAGGAACTGGGGTGGACTTCAAGTCTCTCATAATAAGGTTACCAGAACATTTCAAAACTATGGGCCTAACCATGCCAAGAGTTGGCATGAGACTTATTGTAGAACCTTGGTGATGTTCCATGCTTCAGTCAGCAAAAAAATCTCAGTGCACAGCATACCTAGACATGGCATCACAAGAAAGGGCATGTCCTACAAGAAATCAACACTTTGATTTTCAGTTTCTTTACTTTTCTTCATAGTTCTCAAGACACCAAGGCAAGGCTAGGTGACGGGGCACCTTGTTGCCTAGGTGATGGACATTTTTTTGTATAAAAACCATGAATTCTAGGGTAATTCCCTAGTTTCCATAGCCAGTAGCAACCATCTTTCATTGGTAATTGACTATAGTCTTCGTAAAAAATGTACAAACTTCATTCAAAACATAGAAACTAACATATTCATGAAAAAGCATGGAAGAAAAGAAGTTTCAGAAAATAGATATTTTTGTCCTACGAAAAGAAGAAGAGAAAATCAATGTGTGTTGATTGGAAAAAAAATTGAGTTCTTCCTTGCTTATGAGTCCAGGTTTTGAAGTCTTTGAGGATTCAATACAGCATACATGTTGATTGAACCTAACAATGAGAACATAATAAAAGAAATTAATATTTTAACTCACAAACTAAATAATTAAGTTCAATAATGTTTGTTTTATTATTATAATCTCAGAAAACTAAGAATACAAATGTATATAATAGCACCATGTATAAAATACCTTGACAATTAAACAAGGCAACCTTCCATGTGCACTTTGTCACCTAGGCATCACCTTGACAACTATGGTTTTCTTTTTCTTATACATTCTCAAGTCTACACAATATTTATTAGAAAATGGAGGGAGAACACCCATCAATGCTCCAAGCATTTACATTGCTAAAAGGCAAAAAGGAACCATGTTAAACATACACACAACAAACCCTCCTTTTATACATTATACTGCAAGCCCTTTTTATTTAAATCATTGGTAATCTCCTTCCACCCACTGATTTGTCAATAACTAACATTACAAAAATTAACAATTCCATTCCTCTCCCCTAGTTTTACATATATGTACAAGTATATGTATATGAAAACAAATTCTTGTTTGAGTATTTACTACAAAAGAGTGCAATAACTAATTCCAGTGAGCATAGTGGGCTAGGGATAAATTGGTCATTTTAGCCTATACCATATAGAAAAGTTTCCAATAATAGAAATAAAAACTGAAGGCCAATCCACCACATATTCATAAGACGAAAAATGAGTTATTTATGAAAAGGATTTATAAGTGAATCATAAAAGAGACAATAAAGAACAAACCATATAATTAGTCAAAGCAGACTTTCCAGCATTTGGAGCTCCTATTATCCCAACAGACAATGACCTTTGGTCTTCCTCCTTTACCACCATATCCTCCTCTTCAACATCATCAGGCTTCTCTAATGCTGCATGAAGCAGAGCCTTTGCAAGCATGGTTGCACGTCGGCCCTCTTCATCTTCCTCTATAATCTGAGAAGTCTGCTTCCGAGCATCAGTGCCAAATATTGCTTGATCAGCTTTCGCCCGATATGCCTCATTCCATGTAGGTTCACGTCGAACATCAGCAGCTGAACTGGAACCAACACTAGGGAATGTATACTGGCTACTGTCAAAGGAAGAGACCTCATCTTCATCTTCTCCAGTGTTGTTATTGTTGTCTTCTTCAGGTTGTGCTGAGTAGAATCGACAAAGGGGGGTAGAAAGATGGTTTCTGTGGGTATAGGTAGATAGGGTTCTAAGGCTTCTGATGGCTCTCAAAGCCTTCATCCTAGGTCCTGAGATTCCAAATATGGATTAGAGAAGGAAATGCATATAGATGTATAGTAGAAATAATGGTAGGAAATAAACACAGATACACACATAAAATTCTATATGGTTTCTGTGGATATAGGTACAGAGAGTTCTAAGGTTCCTGATAGCTCTCAAAGCTTTCATCCTAGGTCCTGAAATTCCAAATATGGATTAGAGCAGGAAATGCATATAGATGTATAGTAGAAATAGTGGTAGGAAGACACACAAACACACATACACATATAGAATTCTATATTTACCTTGATTTGGAAATAAAAATAGGTCAGACTCAATAGTGTCAGCTAATAGTGAGATGTGTCTATCATTTTAAGTGTTAAATCATTCTGAAGACTGGGATGACATCATGACATCCATCATGGGTAGGACAGTACTACCATGGTAAAGAGCCTACTAATACACGGTTCATTTTCGTATGCCTGATCTAATACATCAATATACAAGACAAATAGATTGAAATATATGGATAGAAACTCTCAGAAGTTGTTTAGACCCCTTTGCTGGCGGGTTTGATTGGCTTATCACTACTTTGATTATGTCAATCCTAGAACTAAACAAAGGTGGGTTTAGTTGGTTATGGTAGGTGAAGTTAACGCCACCACCAACCTCTCCTGTAGCAACAGTAGATTACCAAGCCCTTGAAAATTATATATAGATTTTAAATTTTGCCATTCTGGCTCTGTTACAAGCCTACATAAGCCTTCTAGAAATTGCCCATTCTCAAAGTCAACTCTCCTAATTGTGAAACCCCCTCTCAAACCCATGAAAACCCAAGATTGTTGTATGCCAAACTATGTGGTTACACTTGCACATAAAATCAATTTTTCTCTTCTCAAGATATATTGAAATCTTAGTTAATAAGTATGCAAATTCACAGATACGCCATAAGGAAACTCAACTTGACCATCAAACAAATGCAAAAAAAAAAACGAAAAACACAACTACAATTATGACTTAAGTGTGCTCCATAGCAAGGCTTAACAAGGTTACATGGAGGACGACAGACATTCTCTATATCCTTAAAAATCTGCTTAAATCCTTTTAGAAGTGGACTATGGAGCCTTAGCAACACCCCATATAGTAGGGATAAGGCTTGGATGATGATGACTGTGGAGCCTTATGCACCTAAGAAATCTGGCGGAAAGAACTTCAGGAAACATCCACCAAAGTTGCAAAAACACCATCTACTGATTGATTCTTGCAAGAAAGAAAATAATGGAGAAAAGCTCAAATTCCCTTACAAAGAGATGAGTGGTCCCGTTTGAAGCTTCAAATGCCTGTAGCTTTGAACTTCTTTCAACCAATCAACCTAAATAATAATAACAACAAACGAAATGATTTAGGTCTCTGGGTTAAGACAGTATTCTGATTGATATTCTCAAACTCGTCTGGGAGGAGTAGAAGGAACGAGAAGTATGGATCGTAGAAGAATGGAAGGGTTTAGGGTTTTCGACGTGAGAAATGATATGTTTGTAAAAAGAACCTCTGGATTGCGGTGTTCATTGTACGGTTTAAATCGCAAAACCGAACCGCGTTTGCAGTTTGGTTCGATCTATACCTAAAAGAGTTTGATTCGATTTAATATTTTGCTAAGGCTCGGTTTGGGAAGAGTGAAATACAAATACATGCAAAATACTGAAATAGTACAAAATACAAGACTTTGCATTCTATATATTTGTATTTTGTATTCCTTCGGCCAGTGCCACTATGATGCTCGAACTTCAAAATATGATAAATTAATATTCAAACTTTTAAAATATGCTAATTTAGTGCCTATTAACCAACGGTTAAGTGGCGATGGGAAAAATACAAATGTCTTTCCAGTGTCATCCAATTTCCCTTATCAATCATCTAAACATTAATAAAAAATGAACAGTTCTAAATCTTAGCCTCTTCTGTTGAGAGTGATTCCAACTTTCTTGAAAAAAAGAGGCAAGGATTTAGGATTGTTCATTTTTGTCGACATTTAGATAGTAGATAAAAAAAAATTAGATGACATTCAAAAGGCATTTATGTCTTTACAAATGCAACTTAATGGCTGATTAACATATGGTAAACGGTAGGTACTAAATTAGTATGTTTTAAAAGTTTAGGTATTAAACAAATTGTCATGTTTTAAAGTTCGAAGACCAAAATGGCACTAGGCCCAAAGTACAGGATACTAATCATGAATTTTCACTTTTACCAATTTATGGTTTAAGGTTTCAGTTTATCACTTTATTGGATTTTACAAATAAAACCAAATTGAATCCTTTGATAATTTTACCAATTAGTAGGGTACTAATCATGAATTGTCATGTTTATCACTTTATTATCACTATATATATATATATATATATATATATATATATATATATATATATTGCACCGAATATATTTATTTGTATTTATACTCTTTTCAAGTTAAGCCTAAATTTCAAATATATTATTTTTTTAGGGGTCAGAATTATGAATCCTTTGATAATTTCTTACTTCTGTTCACGTCTTGTTTGGCTTTCACTACTCTCTTTTTAGAGCCTTCCGCTAAAATAAAAGATGATTCGGTTTTTTTTTTTTGGGAAATTGTCTAAAACTTACCATGAGTTTTCAGCATTTCTCGTAAACTCACCACAACTTTTCAAAATGTCTAAAACTCACCATGTCAATAAGTTTTTATTTTCCAAAACTCACCTTCCATTAATGCATCGTTAATGCTTCTTAACAGAGGTGTCCATGTCAGCATAAATAACAATTTTCATGACCAAATTACACTTGAATGGCGAGTTAGAGGAAAAATGGTCTTTTTTAGTTTTCAATTTTCTTTTTTTTTTGTTTGCATTTTAGTGTTTTGTTATAATTTCCAATGTTTTTTATAATTTCTGTTTTTTTTACATTTTTCTATTTTCTATAATCTATAAATTTTCCTATATTTTTTGTTATTTATTTGCAATTTATGTGTTTTTCTATAATTTTTGGTGTTTTTTCTACAACTTTTATTTTCTGACTTTGTTTTTTCAATTTCTATAGTTTCTATAATTTGAAAATAATTTTTTATTTTGTTTGAAATTTCTATAATTTTTTATATTTTTTGTAATTTCTATGTTTTTTATGTATTATATATTTGAAAATATTGTTTTGAACTTTTTCCTTTTTTTCATGTCTAAATATTAAAATGGTAATAAATTAACAGCCATTAATTTATTTTGTATATATATTTATATTTTCCTATGAAGGTTAAAATGGTAATATATTAACACTCATTAGTCTGTTTAACGTCAAGTTAGTGACATGGCGAGTTTTAGATATTTTGAAAAGTTGTGGTGAGTTTAAGAGAAATACTGAAAACTCATGGTGAGTTTTAGACAATTTCCTTTTTTTTACTTATCATAACAAATTATTCAAAAGGCACATTGACATTGGAATTTGTTCAACACAGACTTTCACCGTTTGAGAAGAAGGCAACTCGTGTGCACTTAAAAACAAATTTCAGCATACTTTAATTTCTTTAGGTTATATTGCATTTGGCAGAAAATAAGAGAGAATACTAAAAATTTTAAAAATAATAATAAATAAGTTGATCATGAACAAGGTTCAAAGTATCGTTATGTATCGACTCGTATCAGCCTATATCAATACGTATCGACTGATACGTATCGTGCTGATGGCTTCCCGATATGCCCCTCTTGGGGTTGTATCGGGTCAAACATTGGTTCATAGGGTAGCTGGGCCTTAAATCGACCCCTCTGAACTGGTTTTGAAAAAATAAATAAAACCTAAAAAAAGTACCAATACAGGCCGATACGCTTGTCCATACTTTAAACCTTGACTAGGAATTTAACAAAATTTCTTGAACTTTCCTATAATTTTTCCCTTTTCACTTAGGCTCTGTTGGCTTTTCGGTAAATTACTTATCAGGGTAAGTGCATTTACCCATGTTCTTTTTATTTCCTAGGTAAATAAAACCAATGATCATTGAGTCATAAAAATCCATTATTAAAAAGGGGAATTTTTGCCCCATCCAAGTGTTGGCAACTCCCCACC